GGGTCTGCAGCTGGGCGGCGGCGCCGCGGGGGCGTGGCGAGGAGGCCGCGGAGCGCTAGCGCGAGGGGCGCCCATCGGCGTGTCGCGGGCCGGGCAGAGCTCCCAGCGCCTGCGGGCGGCGCACACCCCCTCGCCTGCCCCTCGGCACCCATCCACTTTCTTTTGTCTGGTCCCTGTCAGTCCTGGCGTGTCAGCTGCTTTTGTTGCAGCGTTGAGTCCAGACTCTGCAGACTTTCTGCCAGACCGAGGTGATGTGTGAGCCCTGATGCGTCCGGACCGAGGGCAGCCGAAGGGAGCCGAGGGTCCCCGATGGTCCCTTGGGGCAAGTTATTATAAGTATGATAATTAGCCGTAACATGGGTATTTCTCTGTTCTGCTCCAGCTAGCCCTCAATATTTTTGTAGCATCTAATAGTTTTAAGTGCACCTATAAGAGCGTTTATTAGTTAACTTCAAAGGAGCATGATGGAAGCAGGTTACTTATTATCCCATTTTATAGACCAGACAGCTGGGGCACCCACGAAGAACAGTGATTCTATCAAAACCAAGCAGGCTTTGTGGAAGCTGGTATTAGAACTTGTCTGACTGAATGTTGCCTTCGGTAAGGCAGTTGATTTCTCAGCCTCAAGCAAAATTTAGGGCTCAAAGAGTGTCAGTATCTGATACTATTTTAATTTACTCATGAAAAATCTTAAAAAAAAAAAAAAAAGAGTGGAATCTTTTCGGACCCCTGCAGTGGTGTCCCTAAAAGTGATACTTAAAGGAGCTGAATAATTGCCGTCGTTGACTATAAGTCTTAGTATGGTTCGAAGAGTCTTTGTCTCTCCTCTGTTAAACCGTTCGTTTCTCATACAAATGTAACCACTGGCTGCGCAGAGATACTTGGTGATGATCATGGCAGAAACCCTAAATGCACTCAGGAGACCCGCTTCTGGGTTTCCCTGGATATTGAGCAGCAACTTTACTTTTCTCATAAGGAACTGAACATTTAGGACAGTCAGTTCAATGAAAATTGACTTGTACAGTAATTGCCTTTGTATTATGTTATTGTTTACTTATCTCCCCACAGCTATCAACAATTAACCAGTTTCCCTGAGGTTTGCTTTTAAATTGTTTTGTCAATAGATCTTTTGTTGCTCCGTCTTTTCGTTTTTATTTGGTTTTTCAAAGAGGAAGTTTTTCTTCTAAAAGTCAAGCTTTCTTTGTACAGTTAACTAGAACATGCGTGAATGTCTCTGAAGACAGAACCCCAGACTTATAATAAGTAAACCCCATATGTCAAGAGGAATTCTTCCAGGCGAGTATGCAATGAATTAATAATCCCTTTCAATAGACCTTGGTAATATTTTATGGCACACCTGCATGTGTAATAATAATACTTTGTACTTTCGTATGTGATGCCTTTTCATCAAGGAGCATAAAGCTAATTTTTTTAGTTGAATTTTGCAAACTACATCACACAAGTTTTACAGGACAGTTTACCTAGACTTAACTTTTCCTGGTGGAATAGGCACATGTCTCTTTCCCTTAACCACCTCTACTAAACTGTCTAAATAAAGAATATTTGGTGAGTGAAGTAACATCTAGAAAATACTTTGAACTCTCTGGAAGAAAGCTGGTTTTCACCTTCAAAGTGTGACTATGTAGTATTAAACTCTTCACCTCTAAACATGTTGTACTATTTATGTTGAAGAGATGGTCATTCCAAAGAGTCATCTAAGGAGGCTGAAAATTTACTTGAATAGTGCTACTACTATTTATAATTATTTTGAATCTTCTGAAATTTTGAGTCATTTTAAAAGTAACATAAAAATATTTTATGAGCAGTTGTTTTATTAAATCCTAACTCAGCCTGAGCACTATTTTATTTGCTAAATTTGGCAGCATGATTTCTGTATGGCTGTCAAGCTTGGTTCTATCTTTAATATTTTTATCACTATTAAAAATATTTAAAGGATTAACTGGTGATTATGAAGACAGTTTTGAAAGGACAGTTGAAAAATAGTTCAGTGTTGGGGATGTAGCTCACTCAATCCCCAGCACCACCAAAAGGAAATTTTTTAAATAATATTTTTGGAATACACTTGTAGCCTTCCTAGAAGGATACTCTTAAAGGAGAACTGCTTAATTTGTAGGCTTAATTCTGTACCTGTGTATACATTTTTTGTATTGTTAAACATTTTGAAAGTAATTAATTTGTATTTAATCTATTGGTTGCCTTTTTTAGCACAGTGATTTTTTTTTTTAAATGTTAACTGGAATTTGCTTAATTAAACAGATCACATATCTTACTGGAACAATATTAGGTTGAGAATGTATTTCGTATCAAAACCTGAACTTCTTATGAATACAACTATACATTTTTTAGTAATTTAGGATCAGATTATATGTTTTGAGTCTAGTGAATAAAGGAAACATAGCTTCACATCTTGGGGCCTAGTACAGGAAGGAGCTCAGTGTCCTATAAATTTTATTTAATACCACTTAGGAAAGATTTTGTTTTCTTCATTTGTTTTCATGTTTAAAATATTTACAACTCTATCATGTCTATTGTATACTGTCATAGTTCATTAGTGCAGCTATGACAAAATACCCGAGGCTTATTAATTTATAAATAATGGAAATTTATTTCTCATAGTTCTGGGGAGTAGGAAGGCCAAGAGCAGGTGCTTCAGGTTTGTCATCTGATGAGAGAGTCCCAGTCTCTACTTCTAAGAGGAGTGTTGTATCCTCATGTGGCAGAGGCCTAAATTAGTCCCAACCAGTCCTTTTATAAAACACTAATACCATTCATGAGGTCAGAAATCAAGGAACTTTCTAAAACACAAAACCCTGAAGGAAGTGATCTATGAAACAGATGGTTCTTAAGTTCTAGGTTGAGAGGAATTTCCTTACATTAGCCTTTGTGTATCCCACACCTGCCTCATGCTATAGACTGCTGATAAACACAGGCCAAGAGGCTGAGTTCTGCCCTTGTTGTGAACTCCTTCTCACCTGGGACTTCTACCAACCAGTTAACTGGATAGTTAGCCCTCTGTCTCTCAGATCCTGCCCTGTAATACAGCAACTTCTGGCATATCTTTCACTTCCTGTGCACCCAACAAATTTCAGGAAGCCATGAGGCACAAGTGGGGTTTGTGGTGGGTATCACAGAACATTTAGAGATCTGAGACATTAAGAACCCTGGAGACAATATAGAAACAATTGTAATTAGCTTAATCCTGGACTCTATCAGTTCCTTTCCCATGGAAATAGGTAGGTACCAAGAATACAAGATGTCCCCTCTGAGGAGCAGACAGCAGAGAACCAGGTCATAATGACCTGTTAGATGTAGGGGAAATAGGCTGACTGCTTTGCCTGTCGGCAAGCTTTGACCCTGTACAGCTGAGCAAGTGGGCAGAAAAGTAATTGTATTTTCCTTATCCTTTTAAACACCAAGTCTAAGCAGATCTCTTCCTGTACATGTGCAGTCTAAAATAAAGCTTCAGGACTACTGCAGAACAAAGGAAGATGTATTACTGAAAGGGATTGTCATAAGACATTAATTTCTTAAGTTGATTGGTAGTAGTTTCATGAATACTGTGTTTTGTGTCAATAGTGCTCAATCTTTCAGGATTTCTACAAAAAGTAGAACATTTAATCCCCTCATTGCTTTTGTCTGGTAGACATTTGGGAATCCTTGTAGGATTTTGTGTGAGGGTAGAAATGCATCTCAAATCATGTGATTCTAAAGAAAATACACTTCAAAAAAGTTTTACAAAATGGATCAATCTAATTTCATTATGTGATCTTCACTCGTGGTGGCACACGCCTTTAACCCCAGTACTCAGGAGGCAGAGGCAAGCAGATCTCTGTGAGTTCAAGGCCACCCTGGTCTACATAGTGAGTTCCAGGCCAGCTGGGGCCACAGGGAGACCCTGTCTCAAAAAGACCAAAATAAATAGTTTCTCTGCAGAACTGTAGATTCTGAAGTTACTGTCATGACTAATCATCATGGAAACCAGTGTCTGGAAACATTTGAAGGGGACTGAACCCTATATACTCCAGCTGTCTTCACAGGATGACAAGCAGCACCTGGTGCAGCTTGCTGGTTCAGAACAGAAGCCAGTTATCTCTGTGTACTTACAGGCATCGTTGAATTTCAGAAAGAGCTGTACAGAGGGACTGTATAGAGCATCTGTCTGCAGCATCAGTGACTAGTAAACACTGGTACATTTTCAAGAATGAGAAAATAAATGGCAACAAATTGGGTATGTTTTGATGTGGATTCCATAATGAAAGGGGAGAGAGTATAGAAAACTAAAGCAAAACTTAACCACCCAAAAGTCCACTAATATCTGTGGTGAGCTAGTATAGAGAGCAGCGAACCAGGTCATGCCTCTGAAACTCACAGCTATGGATCCTCAGGCCGGTAACAATTCCATGATGGAGAGGGGAGGGGCTCACAGAGCCCTCCATCTGACTGAGGAGCTATTGGCAGTTGTTGGCAGCTGGGGGAGGGAGCACCACTTTCCTTCAGGGATGTGGCTCCTGGTAGATGGCTCATCTCCAGTGGATGACCCATACACATATGGGCAGGACTAATTGGACTTAGTGGGTTAAACAGAGAGGTCATTGGGCGTGATAGCACACACCTTTAATCCCAGCACTTGAGAGGCAGAGGGACGTAGATCTGTATGAGTTCCAGACCAGCTGGGGCTTCAACAAGAAAAAAAAAAAAAAAAAAAAAAAAAAAAAAAAAAAAAAAACCCACAAAACAAAAACAACAAAAAAGAGAAGAGGTGAGCTTGGTGGGGAGGGTTCTATGAGGAGTTGAAGGGGGGAATTGGGGTGAATATGATCAAAATGTATTCATGCATG